CACCAGCAGGTGAATTGATAAATGCACATATAGTTACTCAACAGCGGGATCTTGTCCTTCAGGTTTTCGAAAAGTAATGACTGGAAAACGCTATTCTCAGCGATGCAGCAGGAATGTCTCTTTCAGTGACTGTGAGATCCTTCTTTCAATAGTACCGGAAGGTAAGTCACTGTTGAATTCCAAGCTCATGTACAGTATTTCACCCAGTAACAGATAATAAGTCATATATCACAGGTTTTGACTGTATATTCTTGTCCATAAAACGTGACGGAAATCCATTTTCTATTAAGATTTTCTTTGAAAGATTTAACTCTTCCTCCACTGTATCAGGACTACATATGCGCCGGATGCGAGTGGCAAGCGATCGGACATGGTTTCGCTTTTGACCAGTGAGTACCTTGCTGTAGTAATTTGCCGGTTGACCATTCTAGGACAGTTTTCTATAATTAGATCTCTTCAGAGTTCCATTGGTCCTCCATGATGAGTTTATGGCGATACTAAAGACTATTCCGGTCACAATATTAGAGCACATATATGTTTTCACGTTATACGATGTGCTTTTGTTGTACACGGTCAAAGATGAACAACGTTGTATTAGGAAGCGCAAGTGAAAACTTGAAAAGACGTATTATTAACAAAATCGAAATTCCAAAAACACGAAAACTAACGAGAAGTGTATAACCGCGTAAGAAATACATCTGTAACAAAGAAAAGCAATATCCAATGATACATTGGCACATATCCCACAAGCATTTGTAAAATTAGTTTCTATAAGCGTATAACATACATACTGGAATTAGTTCTATAAGCGTGCAGTTAGGCTTAGTATATGGGTGCTACAAGTTGACATCGAGGAAATGAATACTATACTCGTTCTCCATTTCGAGTGTGTATGGCAACCATTAAATTGATAAATTATTTAAATTATAATCACTATTATAAATATTAAAGGTGTCATCTACATACCTTTTTTTACATCTGTAACCTTGGGATTGTTGACTTCACCTGACCATTTTCTAGACTGGCCATTAAAACAGTATAGGAGGAGAGGATCCAAGGAAAAACCCATTGCAATATGATCCTTCTATTTGTAGATCGCTTCATTGAAAGTAAATTGTGCATTGAATGTATATCTCAAAGGCAGTTCTTTCAAATCTGTAGTGGGTATCCCTAAATTCATCTTGGTGTCTTCACTATGTTTACACTATGATTATAATCACAAACATTTTAATTACATTTCATACCATTGTTATTTTATGTATTTACACCTATGATTCAATTCCATTACCGGATATAATTTCTTAATAACTACAAATGTACGGTTACACAGCTTGATAATAAATTCGTTGGAAAGCGTCTCTTGGTTGAATCACTTGTTTTTATTTTCTATATATCCCAGATGGAATTTTCCATTAACTCCTAACCAGCAATTAGTACTTCAATGGTTGGAGAAAATAGTAAAATCTAAGCGTAAATCAATTATTTTTTTAACGCATGCGAGGAAATCTGCGTCGAAATTTACTGCTCATGAAGTCTTCATGTATCGCGACTCATTATCCAAGGAAACTTTCGCATTCTAGTCGTCTAAATAAGGATACTTTATTCGGTAGTGACATAGCTGAAGCTGTATTAGAATAATAAATGAATAATGGTGACCTTCTCGGATTATTCTTCATCTGGGATTCATAAAGAAAGGTGTATATCACTCGATACTGTAAAAAAACGAGGGTCATTCAGTCATAAATGAAACGGCAAAATAATTTATGTCAGTAAAAAGTTTGAGAATTGTGGAATACATCAAACAAAGCATAATTATATTTCAGAGGTTTACACACAATGATAAGGTTTGTTATTGGTAATATTTAGAGCAAAATTACTGCCCATGTCCACACCACTGTTGGAATTGTTTTGTTTTTTAATTCACAAATTTATGGTTTGTACTCATATATATCAGTAAAAAGTTTGAGCATTGTGGATTATACTTTATTTACTCATATGTAGTTCATTTTTCTGTTAATTCTCTTTTGTGTATTCAGAATTATATTCCAGGTTGTTGACAGTTGTACTGAGTCACCCTTGTTACATGTACCCAGTGTGACCTTAATGAATATAGATTCTGTTATAAGTCTCTCTTTCCATTTGTTCATATTAGTTCATATTTAGAATACAAACATTGTTCCAATCGATGTTGTGGTTTTTGTCCCATGCATGTGCAGTTTTAGATGAATTTTTTTCTAAATTCTTGTAAGCTTGTGTTCCTGTTGGCTGACCTTTAGTTAGGCGTTTATGTCCATTCACTCTTATTTTGAGTGATCTGAACGTTTGGCCCACATATTTAGTCGGACACTCGGCATCATTTTTATGGGATCCTTAAGTTGATTTATTTTATTTTTGATTATATTCTTCGGTTTGAACGTCGTGCGAATCCCAGTATTTTTGAGGTTTCTTCGAATTGCCTCTGATGTACCATTTTTGTATGGTATTGTGACTGTTTGTCTGCATTCTTCCGTCTTGTTATTCTCCAGTTTTACCCTCTTTTTCCCTTTTTATATTATCTTTGATAAATTCTTTTGGGTAGTTGTTATCGAGTAACATTTTGAATAGAACGCTTATTTCTTTACGCTGGTCATCTGCTGTTGTTGTAAGTCTACGTACTCTATCTACAAGACGTTGTATTAATCCTCGTTTTACCGTGGGTGGATGAGCTGAGTGATAATCAAGGAATCTTCCAGAGTGTGTAGTTTTTCTATCTATCGTCGTTTTTATGCTACCATCTGTTACTCTTTGTCTGTTGCAGTCTATCATAGGCAGTTCCCCAATTTCAATCTCTATTCCCATAGTGAATTTTATTGAGTATGATTATACAATCAGGATAAAGTTGATTTAGACGAAAAAAAGAATAATTCAGAAGAAATGAGCGTTCCTTTGTACTAAAAATATCCCAAAGCCTGTTGATTCATGCGGTTAAACTAGATGTACAAGTACAAAAAATAATTTACTTATATACTTGACCTCACATTAATTCTCTTATTTTCATTTCTTGACTAGTACTCACTTTTCATTAACTCATTTTGTTTCTGTGTATTTTGTTCAAAAACAGTTTTCAAATTAAGATTATGGGATTTTCGGGGGGTTGGATTAATTTAATTCTAATTGTTAGATTTCTGCAAGAACTAGCATCAGTTAGAGAGATAATTGAAAACCAGAGAGCACTGAATAGCTGCTTCTTCCTGTTTCTGGAATCTTCAGCGCCGCACACCCACGAATCCAAGAGTGGTTGAGGCCGGGAACTTGAAGTTGTGAGAGCAGTTGCTTATTATTCCTTGGTTATCAGTGATCCGTCTAACTGACGTTGGTTTGTGAAGAAATCCAGCAAATGAAACATTTTTAGTGACGTGCATCATCTTAGAATGTTTACTCATAGTCTTGTTACTAAACTTGACGCCTCTTGAAAGAAAACTTGGATTTCATTGCACACAAAACTTTGTTAGGTTTAACAAATTTAACATTAGCATCCATCTGTATTACTACTGATTATTGTTTCCCTCTGTTCCTAGAGGAACATAGGGCTTCAGTTGCACGTCTCCATTGCGTTCGGTTCTCTGGCAACATTATCACCTGGCTCCACGTCTGCCTACATGCTTTCATCTTCTCTTCACATGACCTCCTCCATGTCACCCTAGCACTGACAACCAACTCGCCACTTCCCGTTCGGGTCCCATTTGAGCGATGGCCTGGCGTGAGGCGTCACTTGATGGTTTTCTCAGAGTGTGGTCAGTCCACCTCTATTTTTTCCTGCTTATTTGTTGCACAATTGGTTCCTGCTTGGCTGGTTCGTTCTTCGCCTGTTGCTGATCTTTTCTGACCGGCCATCTGATCTTGAGCGAAGACATTTGTTGATGAAAGTCTGTAGTTTGTTTGAAGTGCCCTTCATGGCACGCCAAGTCTCTGATCTGTATAGCAGCACTGACTTCACAGTGGAGTTGAAAATCCGGATCTTATTTTTTGTGCTGAGTGCTGTTGACCTCCACACAGACTTCAGAGAAATGAAAGCTTGCCTTGCTTTCCCTATCCTTGCTTTGATATCTTCGACAGTTCTGCCTTTATTACTATGATTATTCTTAATTATTATTTGGAATTTTGTTTCTCCAACAAGCTAAAGTGTTTTATAATTGTAATAAAAACTGATTATTTGATTGGACAGTAGTTACTAACTAGCGTAGAGTGTCTAGTGCTGTTACCTGATGCAGACTGAATTCTATCAGTCAGGTCTGAAATGTGGCCACCTTTCCAGGTGGCTTGCCATCATGGTGCACTCTAAATTGTTGATATTAGACAGTAGGAGGCAATCGGCAGGAAGCCCCACCTGACCTAGGTTTTGGTGCTAGTTGGTACTTACCAGTCAGCAAGGCGTATCTGCAACATTGAAGGAATTTGTGTCCCTTCTGAGATTCGAACCCGCGTCACTCAGTGCTACCAGCAGTCAGAGAAGTTACCATTTAGCTATTCAGGCTCGCGATTGACCTCTTTCACTACTGTACTGGTACTTTGATTGGACAATAGTTAGTAACTAGTAATGTGTCTAGTCCTTGCATATACGCCTTGCTGACGAGTGCCAACTAGCACGAAACCTAGGTCCAAGTCTTCCTACCCACTGACTCCAACCATGTAATATTAACAAAAACCAAATCCAAGTTATAAGGAATCGAAGAAATTCCCCTTAGGAAGAAAACAAATATGTTTTATCCTGCTCCAAATGGTGTGATTATTCTATTAAAATTAAATATGTTCAGTTGACCAATCCTCATCAAATTCTCACTGCCTCCAATTTTAAGGCATAAGTACTGGCAGACATACTGTCTTAGTTGAATAAATTCTTTCCTGGAAATGTTATAAACAAATCACTCTATAAACAAGAATTTTAATAGTAATAATAATAACACTAAAAAGACACACACACACACACCGAACCGGCGAATAATTTGCCTTTCTACTTTTCAATGGATTTAGCAGTCAATTACGAAGACAACATATTTTTGAAGATATGGTCGGGGACTCCTCAAACAGCTAAATCGCTAACCGACTATACTACTCTTAAATACATGCTTAGAATAGTTTTAACAGTATTTATCATTTCTAATGTTTGGATTCAGAATTCCAGTACTGTCCATTTTGAGTATTCAGCAAATTTGAATAGGAATGATGCATATAGTCTTAAATGGTCAATCGATAATCAACAAAAATGGCTAAATTTCTCTGTTTGTTTCAATATCATGGAAGCGAATCAGCCTACAGCAAATAAAGTAAATTATGAAGTAGATAGGACGAGGCTACCGGAATTTTTCGGCATCGGATTTGGACAAAAGGATGAACCAGTTGGTGTGGAATTCTATATGTTATACTTTCCATTTCTTAATAAAGCATTCAGGAAGGATTATGAATATTTTTTCATGGTAAGTTTTTATTTATTTAGATATTGTGAAAGCAACTGTTCATAATAATGTTTTAAAAGTACGATATTAAAATGCTGTAAAGGTGGTGAGATGTTTAGTTGCATTAAATACAAAGAAAACAAATTCTGTTGCTCCTTTAAACGCATGTAAGCACTCCGTGTATTTAAAGACTAGACAGTCAATTAGTCACTGAAAGGAACCAGTATCATGTATTTCATAGGACTAAATTCTACCATTCAAGTTTGCAATGCTGTCGCTGAGCTATGAAACCCGGTAACACGATGAGCTTTAAATTGTTATTAGATGCCTGTAGGCAGTCGGTATTAAACCGTAGACCTAGATTTCGGGCTTATTAGCACTCGTCAGTAAGACAAGTCTTCAACCTTGGAGGAACTGATTTGATCTCAGTGATTCGGACTGGCGTCATTCAGTTCTGCAGTCACAGATGTTACCTTTTAGCTACTCGTCGTCATACTGCACCATACTCTGAATAAGTCTGTGTAGTACGAATTCTATTTGAAATATTTAAATAATGTCGAAAAATAAAAAGGGACTTAATTAAGAATATGAACCATAAATCTCATTGACACAAGGTAATATTCTGTTAAGTGAGTTATGATATCTAACTGCTACTTGGAATTTTGCTTTCATGTATCATTAAAGACATTTTATGTAAATAAGTTATCCACCAAAGTAACGGATAGTTGAATTTCATGTCCTAAGTTTTATCACAGATCGACATCAGTTACGGAACCATTGAAAACTAACCAGGGAGTACTCAACAGCTGATTCTTCCTAGTCTGGGACTCATCGGCAGTACACACCCACCAGGTTTCTAACCCAGGTTACAAGGCAAGCACGTAAACCATTCAGCCACTGGGAACCTACTCGATGGTCCATGATTTTACCTCAGCCACCAGCAAGTCGTTCGAAATCCTGTGGATGCCTACGTTCGACGAGTCCCAAACTAGTAAGAAACAGCTATCTAGTACTCCCCGCTCGTTTTCAATGGTCCTGTAACTGATATCGATCCGTGGTCAAAATTAAAACAAATCAGATGCCTACAAACAAACACTTGGAAATCAAGTTCGTGTATCTTTCTCCTGTTAACTGTTATTGTAGGTGACATAATTGGGATGAGGCTAAAGGCTCAACAACAAAAATCATGTTAATGTTCATTTGGTAATCTACCTCTGTATATTTAAAATTCCTGTTTCAGCAACAATAGCTTTTGTTATTTGGTGGTTTTCGGCAGTAAAAAGCTCGCCAACCACTCACATGGTCCTCGGCCGACGCATACCTAAGTCTCACTAAGCCGGTAGTAAGATTGGTAAAGAGGGAAGGTTGGGTCTGAGGCTAGCAACCCCACCCTGTAAAAACAAAACCACTGCTTCCGAAACTTCAAAGCTCCAGCTTGAAGCCGTATGGTCCACTTGGGACGTAAGCGAATAAAAAAGAAGCGGTAAAACGTTGTCGGCTTGAAGGTTTACTTGAAATTGATTCTCTAAAAGAATCAAGGTATACTTAGCTGACGACAATAAGTATATAACTGTGGATAGAGTGGATTTCGGTACACAGAAGCAGTTACGTGGGCAAAATCCGTCATATAACTCAAGATCCTTTTGTTAAATGGTATAAGAAGTTAGTTGACAAGACGGCCTGACTGACACATGTTTTGTGCTTCCTGGCAGAGGACAACAAGGTTAGTCTGTTGTCTCAAGTTTGCTAACAATTTCCGATAATCACGTGGCCTACTTGCAGGTCCTCCTGCCAACTAATTTCAGTCACCTGACATCAAAGCACTATACAATGGATGACGAGCTTTGTTAGTTTGAGAATAACTTTCAAATCATTATGCGTCCAAAATTCTGCAGCATTATACAACCGTGGGTTAGATAATTGAAAAAAATACCTAATTTACTTCATAAGCTGTTAAACAGATATTTCAAACTCTAATGAGCAAGTGAAAGAATTAAATGAAAAGGGTTCGAATTTACATTCAGTGATATGTGAATGTGAACTGAGGAAAATCTCCTAATAAGTAATACCAAGTGAAGACATTAAAAGGGCATTCGGAGAAGAAAACTTTCTTCATCAAAGAAATCATCTTCGAAGGCTGTATAATCGTATGTATATTGACTGAAACATAAGAATGACCTTCGTGGGATCATTCGAAGGAATAAAAGCTTGAGACCCTACGTAGGATTCTAAATAAAGCAGGAATTAGGGTGGCATTTAAACCTACAAACTCACTCAGGGACAAGCTCTGTAGGTTAAAGGACCCAGTGGACCCAATTAGACAAAATAATATAATTTACAAAATACCCTGCAATGACTGTGAGTTAGGTCAACTACATAGGTCAAACTAGTAGGTCAGGGGTAGTCAGATTGTCAGAACATAAGAATTTAGCTAAGGTAAGAATGGTTGACCCCTAGGAGATAAGTAATTTAGAAAAAAGGTCAGCAATTGCAATGCATGCATTAACACACAACCACACAATAGGGTGGGAGAGGGTTAAAATTCTAAAAAGTAATCTAGGTAGGTGGAGAGAGAGGTTGATTACTGAATCCTTGTTCATCGAATCTACACCCAACACATGCAATAGGAATGATTCATCACTCATACCCGAATCAAGTGAAAATCAAGTGAAAAACAATGGAAGTATATAAACGAATTTAGGAAGTCGTGTGATTACCTTGATATGATTATGAGCAGTAATAAATTGTGCTCGAAACGCCATCAGTAAATATTACTGTATAACACTGTGAGACTTTATCAAAATAAAATTTACCCATAATGGAATTACACTCTACTACAGTGCCCAAGTTTTATTCTTATATCAATAAAAGCCTTAATGTTTTGTGAAACATTAGCCTAAGTAGAAACTAACTTAGTTTCAACACTTTTTAGATGTTTCGGATGATGATACCCTACATCTTATTGGGCTACATATATATATATATAAGTATATGTATGAACCAAAATGTATTTACATATAGTCAAAAGAAGATGAATGTTTAGTGAAAAGCGAGACCTATTGCTCCATAAAAAAATCATACTATTAAAAGCAATACTTCTGTGTTCTTCTTATCTTCCAAATAAAATGTAAATTGTTTGTTTGACCAACACGTGGATAAGTGTAGACAGTGGGGTTTAGCGAAATATTTCTATCGAATTACCACTTCCACCCGTAGCTAATTATGAAATCTGAAATAATTTAAGGGGTTTATTTTTTAGGATCAGAGTGATAGTAGTGTGAATTTCACCGTAGTTTGTTGTTTAATGGTGTATGTTTCATTTTTAGGATTGGTAAAGTCATTTGAACTAACTTCAGTGAAAACGGAGGTAACCTTTCAAGTAGAATGATCATTTAAGCTGCTTTGTAAATCGCATAGAATTTAAGTTTTTTTAGCTTGATGAAAATGTGACGCTGATCTTTAGATGCAGTTGGTGAAAAAATTAGCTCACTACTATTGACATTCTTCCATACTTATCAGAAGTATGATCACAACTCATATGGATTTCATCAGATGACTTCGTTTCCAAGTAATACTGTTAGTGAAAACTCTGGGTAGGTAAGTAATTACCATCACTGTAAAAATAAGCCCTGACAATTCACACCATTCTCGTTACATACACAGTTATCGAAGTGCTGCACACAGTGGATTTTTTCATCTACATTTTTAATGAGTTTCAAACCTAATACGCATCAGTTTACTATAATAAATCTGAATGGATATTAGCATAAAACTATACAGTACTGATGAGTAGATGCATACCACCCACATCATTTGGTAGTGCTTGTTAGCCAGATCGAAGTGACCTGAAAGCCAGACGGCAGTTTCGCTCGTTTGGGGGCCAGCTCATCATCAGTTGTTCGCCGTCTGACTCAGCGCAGACATCTGAATTAGTTTCTCAATTGCCATTTATAGTATCTAGCGGATTATGTATTGCGGTCTGAATAATTTCAGTTTCAAAAATTTAAAACAGTTAGTCCCTTTTAAAAATTTTGATAGCATTATTAGAAGACAGAGATTATCTGAAAAATGTGATGTATTTGCGCTATACATTTCGAACAATCTGATCACACATTTACTTGTCAAGTCAATATATAAACCAAGTGACAAAAAAGGAATTAAGAATAATTAACACAAACGCTTGGTAATCCAATCAAATGAGGATTACCAAGGTAGGTTAAGAGTAATAACAAACTGTTTTTGAATACACAAGGGGGGCATAATATATGTGTAAAACTGGGGCACTGTGGTAGTAAGTAATTCCATATATCATGACAATTGTCACAATTGATATGATTATGAACAATAAATTTTTTTCGAAACGTCATCCAGTAAATAATACTGTTTCACTGTGTGATATATCTAATAAACAAACTAATATGGAAGGGGGGGGCTTAATTTTATGAATAGCTATAGCCTCAGTGTATTTCAGTAAACGTCCTTGACCGTTTTTATAGGTGACCTTAAAGGCTGAGTTAACATCAACCTTATGGTTCATCTCGATTAAATGTTTGGCTATAGACGAAGTTGGTAGTCTGACACCTGCATCTATTGGCTTGTCACAATTCATCTATTTTTCTAGCCATTTTGGGACATGCTCTCCCACCCTCACGTGCAACGCGCGATTACTCCTCCCTATGCATGTATGTCCACACACACACGAAAATTGGTAAATTGTGTGGGATGTGATATAATCACTTGTGCACTTTTGAGGTTTGCAGTGAAGCATATTTTTAGCTTTTCCCACAATTACAAGCTGGACTGCATAGTAGGTTCTACGGATGATCCAATTCAACCTTTGTCTCAAAATCCTACTATTTATTTCCCCGTTATATGGTAATTTGATGAAAACCTTTTTCTTAGGGACGGTATGGATTGTAGGTTTAGAGGCTAGTTGACTTCTACAACTGTTTAAAAATTTCAAAGGATATCCGTTTTCAACAAGAGTATCCATCAATATTTCGTTTTCTTTGTCTATAACATCATCCTCTTAAATAGACACTTCACCAAGCCTCTCTTATACTGTAATGGACAGAAGCTGTGGAAATTAAGGTATTACCCTGTCCAAGTGGGCTTCCTGTAGATAGACCGGCTTATTGAGCCATCGTCTCTTCGACTCAAAAGTGTGTCTAAAACTGCGAGCTGGTTGCAACTTTCTTCCTCGCATGTAAGACTAATATGATTGGATTACCAAACGTTTGTGTTAATTATTCTTAATTCTTTTCTTTGTCACTTTGTTTAATTTAACTTTTCCATATATATTGACTTGACAAGTAAATGTGTGATCAGATTGTTCGAAATGTATAGCGCTAATACATCACATTGCTTTTCAGATAATCTCCGTCTTCTAATAATGCTATCAAAATTTCAGTTTCCGTGGGAAACTGCGGTAAAATTTCACCTCGAATTATAAATCACAGACTGTGAGTTTGATTTCTTGGATGAATACATTTTCAGGGACTGGTCTGTCTGATTAACTAATATAAAAAATATATTGTGTCAATTAGATTTATCAAGGATTAGTAAAATCAAAGAATCATAAGTCATATTCTGTCGAACATACTTACACACAGCAAGAAACAGTTGACCTTTTCATCTGATATTTATGATTAAATACCCATCTGGAAAATGAATCGCTTAGAATTGTTTTGCAGAGAAAAAACATCAGCTGTCAGGAGAATTTCATCAGGCATCTCCGATATGCAATGATTCTTCGTGTAGACTGAGTTTACTGAGAATTTCTATTTCGTATATTATACTAACATTTCCCTTATTTTCTTTAATCACATATTTATAATATTTTGAATACAGGAAGGTTATACAAATGAAAACACAGTCCTTCAGTTTAGGAATTCTACAGAAAGCGTATTGTACAAAGTGAATCAAATTAAAACTGACCATCCAAAGATATGTTTTAAATTTGGAAGAAAAGCCATTTCTTGTCATGAAAATGGTTACACAATTAATGTAAGTTATTTTTTTGTTTTAATAGTTAACTACTATTTTCACTTGGAAGTAGGTGATTTAGTGTGATTAAATTTAACATTGAGATCTACAGTTTTCCTGGAGATCAAATATGATCTGCACTTTATAACTCTAATGGATTATAAAACAAATTGGATAATGGCGTATTTATGTACCTGAATGACTTGAAAAAAAATAGGACGGCAGACTTATTAAAGAGGTGATTGTTGACAAAGGCAAATAATACCAGAATAAAACTGGAGGTCACATCTATGTATGTATTCTGGGAAGCTATGTTTAAAACGGAAACCAGTTCATTGGATCCAAACCCTAAAATATGCCAATTTACAAAAGTTCCTGAACAACTGTCTAGGATTTTTGAAATTCCACACATAAAATCCGACTACATTAATCACTTAACTATAAGTTAGGGTGTCTATGGATGACCAAAACCATTTACATATCCTGAGTTACTTTAGAGAAGTTAATAATTACTATTATCATTAATTCCTTCACGTTCCAAGTGGAACATAGGGCTTCAAGTTATAGGCTTCACGTTTCTGTAGCAGTGTTCATTTTTACAGGATGGGGGTAGCTAGCCTCATGCCCAACCTTTCCACTTTACCAGCTTTTTATTTCTGGCTTAGTAAGGTAAGGGAGTGTGTCGGCCGGGTTCGAACCCCGGACCGTGTGCATGGTAGGCGAGCGTCCTAACCGCTGTGCCACCGACGCGCAAAAGACGTTAATACTGACATACAATATATGACTTTGGAATTGTTTATTTCAATTTCTCTGAGATTTTAAAAAATATAATGTTTACATATCTATGGTGAGCATAGTTCGTCGAAAAATTATTTTTCAAAGCCTTATGACTACATTCACTCGCAATAACAACGATCACAGTAATAATGAGAATAGCAGATTTATTCAGTATGATAGGATTTCACACAGTACAGAAAAATATTTACCATTCGTACAGTAACTTTAGTTAAAACAGTAATTGATAGAATATTATGTAACGTGATGTAATTTGACCTTATTATATGATATTATTATCCCCTTGCTTTCCGAGTGGAAAATGGGACTTCAACAGTACATCTCTATTTTATCTTCTTTACTTGGCTGCACAGTTGTCTGTAAGTTCTCATCTCCTCATCATACGACCTTCTTCATGTTACCGAACTCGTCTTTCTTCGTTCGGCTTCTACTGGAGGGCCTGGTTGGCACGTGGTGTCATTCAACGGTCTCCCCAGAGTATGTCAGACCCATGTCATTTTCTCTCTGCATATTTTTCGTGTAACAGGTTCTTAGTTGGTGCACTGCCACAGTTCCTTGTTGCTTTTCCTTCCTCACCAGCCTTCGGATCATCAGTATGAAGCGAAGGCAGATGCTGATAAGGATCTTCAGTAGCGCGTGTTAAGTCTCTGAACAACATGCTATCATTGACTGAATTGATATTCGTCCTGTAAATCCGGATCTTATTTCGTTTGCTGAGAACAGTGGATTTCCACAATGACTTCAAAGTTGAAAATATCTTTCTTCCCTTTCCAATCTAAGCTGACTTTGACATTCACATCCGTGCCACAATCTCTAGCTGAAAGCGTTAAGTGAAATAAGTAACTCCCCTTAAATTCTTTCTCTGGATAGCGGTCGGTGTTTGTTGTTGCTGCTTTAGATTAGGATTCTTTATCACCCTTGTCTTCTCTGTGTTCAATTGGGATCATGTCACTGCTGATCCTACTGCCAACATGTTGCTTTTCGCTCTCAAATCTTCAACTTCGTGTGACATAAATCTTCTGTGGAGTTTAGAAATTCTGGAAAATTCATGTCAGCCCGACGTATTCTTGTATCCCCACTCTCCATGGTCTACTGTAAGATCTAGACCACCACAGTTAGGCAGATGATCGATTATGGTAAAAAGACTTGTCTTGATTTCGCTGACTTTTCCGTTGTGTATCACTTGATATTCGGCATTATAGCTGTTCGGTGAGGTTGTTAGAGATTTGGGGCACTCCATAGTGTTGAACCAATCTCTAAATTACCTCACAGTCGACGCGATCGAAGGCCTTTGAAGTTGACGTTAAGAGTTGACTGCCATTCTAAGGTCTGTTTGTAATCTGATCAGCAAATGAATTACTTTTCCTGAATCCAGCTTGTTCCGGTCGAAATTTTACATCCAAACGTCTTATTATAGTCTTTTCTGGATGATGTGACCTTAAAACAGATCCAACCTCCTACGATATGTTCCTTCATTTATTATTATAATTGTTTCCTTTAATTCCTACAGGGACATAGGGCTTCAACCGTGCGTCTCCATTGCGTTCGGTTCTCTGCCAGAGTCTTCACCTGGCTCCAAGTCTGCCCACACGTTTTCATCTCCTCTTCACATGACCTCCTCCAAGTCACCCTCGCGCTGACGACCAACTCGCCACTTCCCTTTCGGCTTCCACTCGAGCAGTGGCTTGTCTAGTGATGTCACTTGATGGTTTCCTCAGAGTATGACCAATCCATCTCTATTTGTTCCTGCCTATTTGTTTCACAATTGGTTCACTCCCAGAGATCCCTCCCTGTTGCTGATCTTTTCTGACCGGCCATCTGATCTTGAGTATTGAGCGAAGACAACTGTTAATGAAGGTCTGTAGTTTGTTTGAGGTGCTCTTTACAACGCGCCAAGTCTCTGATCCGCATAGTGAGTAGCACTGATGTCACATTGGAGTAGAAAATCCGGATCTTATTTTCATTTTCATGCTGAGTGCTGTTGACCTCCACACAGACTTGATAGTAGGGAAAGCTTGTCTTGCTTTTCCGATTCTTGCTTTGACATCCTCGTCAGTTCCGCCCGTAGTTGAAACGATGCTTTCCAGGTAGGTAGGTAAAGGAGGTTGTTTCTTTCAGGTTCTTTCCATTTATGCTGATCGTTGTCTGTTGTTGTTCTTGTCTAGGAATCCTCATTACCTCTGTTTTCTCTATGTTCACCTGAAGTCCTATCTTCTCTGGATGCTTCTTCTGCCAACTTGTTGCTTTTCACTTGCATATCTTTCAGTTTGTGGGAAACCAGGCATATATCATAGGCGAAGTCCAGATCCTCCAAGTTTTTTGTGTGAGTCCATTTTATGCCTGTTTCCTCACTACCCACTGTCTGTCTGTCGCATTATCCAGTCTATCGCAATCAGGAAGATCATTGGAGATAGTACGTAGCCAGCTTGTCTTACTCTTGTCTTCACTTCGAAGGATTCCGTAAGTTTCCCGTTGTGGATTACTTGGCACGCAGCATTGTCGTACAACTGTTGGATGAGATGTATAATTTTCGGCGGCACCCCGTAGTAGCGAAGTAGTTGCCAAAGCACCTCTCGATCGACGCTGTCGAATGCCTTTTCAAAGTCGATAAAGTTGAGATAGAGAGGTGACTGCCATTTCAAGCTTCATTTACATTGAGAAATGCTTATCAGTAGGCTGGAAGTTAAATAAAGAAATGTAATTATATAGAGCGAACCAAGGGTATACATCAGTGATTAAAACCACAAGGAATGGCTAAGAGGTGATGGAAATTTGCGTGGTCTAAGGCTTTTTTGATAAAACTAATAAACGATTTTGTCGGTCTGGTAAATATGGGGGAATATACTGAAAAACAGTATGTAACCAGTGGGTGACTACATAGTACAATGAAACGATATGGCTCTATGTAACAACATTTTAATCAGAGAGCAATGAACAAAGTTCACATAACATGAGTACTTGTTGAGAAAATAGCATGAATTAAAGCATACATATAAGTGAAATTGGGAACATCTGAGGGCGTTTGACTTCAGAGTAATCAGTGTTCAGGATTTTCAGGTATCGTCGGTTAGTTGTTCACTTACAGACCATAGCATTGATATATAGGATGAGTTTGTTTCATTCTGCTCCATGTTTTGTCACTGTTATACTCGACATCATTAGGGAAATTCGTGATTGAAATATCATTCTCCCTGACTTCAAAATGTATATTACAAGGCTTTTGAGATAGTTCAAAATTCCTTATTACGTAATATAAGTAAGAAATATTTGAGTGAATCGTTATCTTGAATATTTTCCAGGTCATACTCAACATTTGTAAATCTATAAATATTATTGAGTGATATTTCGATTTAGTTATGTAATCTAAGCTGATTGATTTAATTACGAAGCTTTCAATCATCCTTATAGACAACATCTTCAGTTCAGGTTTCAGTATGAAATAAACTTGTATTAAATTCTCCATGAGTGATATAATTGTGTCACCTGACAACAATTGTGCTGATTGGGTGCTAATCCACATCTCTATTGATCATTTTTATTCACTTGGAATTCGAACTTTCTTGTCATGTGATTTACCTTTTTATTAGCTGTTGAATTTGAACTACAGTAATTTGTTTGTTAGATAGTTGGAGGCAATCAGCAGGAAGTCTTGAATCTAGGTTTTGTGCTGGTTGACACTCACCAGTCAACAAGGTGTATCTGCAACCTTGAAGGAACTCATGTCCCTTCTGAGATTGGAACCCGAGTCACCTAGTGCTGCAGTCAGAGATGTTACCACTGAGCTATTGTTAATTGGTGATTCACTTGAGTACCAGGCTTCTAGAAATCGCCCATCTTCAGAAAGAACGAATTCCTACACAGGTCCATCAAAAAGTGTTTGAACACCAAAAAGAAACCATCACCGAAGACTACAAGAAAATTCACCCTACCATATATAAAAAATATCTCCGAAATAACTGCTAGAATATTAAGACTGTTTGAAATAGATACAACCCAAAAGGTAGCCGGCACAGTCATTTCATCCGATTTTGTGCAGACCGAAAGATCCAACAGGAAAAGAAGACATAATTAATACCCTTTACCAAATAAACTGTATGAACTACAATTTACCTTACGTCGGTCAAAGTGGGCGTCCCCTTCGAATCCGAATCCAAGAACACAGATTGACTGTAACAAGAAATGATATATGTTCTTTCGTATCAGTAGATGTGGATAATTATTATGGA